CAGGACAGTCTGCCTAGAATGGTGCTGGAACGTGGTGTTTCAACCGGACCACAGTGTCAATTTCCCAGAACAACTTTGAGGACAGAGGCTATCTCGTGGCTGGGACAGGACATGCTATATTTATGTGTGGAGATGATGAAATAGAGTTAAAAGGCTTTGCAGGCTATCAGCCACACTAAAAAAATCTTGTTTCAAAAGCCTCATAGGCATCATCTTTTTTTTTTTTTTCTTTTTGCTACCCCAACCATCCAACTATCTATCCATCCATCCACGTGCTGACACTTATTGAGAGTCTACTATGGGGCAGGCACTGCTGGGCACTGGGGAGTACCTAAAGGAGCTCCTGTCCCCTCAGAGCTACTGTGAATTACAGACACACGGACAGGGGCTTTAACGGAGATGTACCGGGTGTCACGGAAGCAAGCAGAGAGGGCAAGTCATTTGGTATGGACATGAAGAAAGCTGTGCAGAGGAGGTGAGGTCTGGGCTGGGCTTTGAAGGGTTCTGAGGCGGACAGTGAAGCCCAGAAGAGTGACTCACATCAGAGGGCCGCCTCAGTGTGAGGGCGGGGCTGGCAAGAGAGGAACCGCGTCCGATCGTGTCACTCTCCCGCACACGCCCCTCAGTGACTCCCCGTCTCACTAACAGTGAAAGCTGAAGTCCTCACAATGGCCTAGGAAGGCCCCATCTGATCTCCCCGGGGGCCTCTCAGATCTCCCTCTCCTCGCCTCTAGCCACACTGGCCTCCCTGCTGTTTTCAGGGTCTTGTTTCCTTCAGGTCATTTGTCGCCCTCCCAGTGAGGTCTCCTTGTGAGGTCCTCCCTTGCCACTCTCCATTCTGTTCCGCTTTTACTTTCCTCCCTACCCATTGCCACCAGCCAATACCGAGTAGAGTTTGCTTATTATCTTTGTTTATTGTCTGTCTCTTCTGAGGAGAATAAATGCTCACGAGGGCATAAGTTTTTGTCTGCTGGTTCAGTGCTGTATTCCTGGTGCTTGCACAGTATCTAGCATACAGCAGGTGCTCAATAAATATTTGTGAAATGACTCAAGGAGCCCCCCCCCCCCGCGCCCCCCTCCTGGAAAGAGTTATTAAGGACTACGCAAACTAAGGCTTCTGGAGTTTATCTGGAAGGTGAAGGGAAGCCACCGACGTTTTTAACTAGGAGAGTAAGATAGCTGGGTCTCTGTTTTCTGGGATAACAACCCTGGTGGTGACAGTGATAGAATGGGTGAGGGGGGAGCAGAAGCCGAAGCAGGAAGTCCCATGAAGAGGGCACTGCGAGCGGACGGCAGCCTGACCCAGGGCCGTGGAGGCAAAGAGAAGAAGGATGTGAGGGGGGTCTGAAGGTGCCTGACTCTGACTGCATGCATCAACCCCAGAGAACTCCTGTCATGTGAGTGTTGTCATTTCTCACATACAACAGTCCATCAGTACAAAATCCGTTCTAATCTTGATGCAAAGAATGGTTCTGCACCTCGGCTCACAGAAAAGCAAGCTAGAGTGCTAGGCCTAGAATGTGTTCAAGTCAGGCTGCTCCCAGGGCATCTGTAAAGTGGAGCTGTTCTCTGGAACGGCATGCATCTCTGTGACACCTCTTGGAAGCGACCTTTGTCTGGGAGGGCGTGGTGCGTGCGACTCCTTTCCCCATGCACCACACCCTCCTTTCTGCAGGCTCCTTTCTGCATTTCAGTACTTTTTCTTTGGCTCTAAGGCTGTCATTCAATTTGAGATTGTCCTTCTTCCCTTCCTTTTAATCCACTCCTCTTACAGAACTCGCTAACTAACCAGCTGACCCATGTTTCATTGTCTTCTCAACCCTTCTGCTCTTCATGTGGTCACACCTCACATACTCCACTCTAAGCTCCTTCTCTGATTCTTACTTCTGGAATTCCTTTCATGCTGGGCAGAAATGCTTGGAAAGCTTTATGAACCCGTGGATAAGTCATCTCCCTTCCCTTGACCTCCATCCTCACCTACCAGCCAAAGTCCCTTTCCTCTGTGTGAAGGTGACAGAAGGTCATGCTTAGGTATGAATGAATTCAGAAAAATACCGCCACCTACTGTTCTTGAAAAAAGAATTACTTAAAAATGTACTCTAGCCAACTGAGAAATTTCTGCATGGAGATGTCAGAATGGAAGGCATGAGGGACGGGGCCTGGGAGTCTGTCCCGGCGTACCCCCAACAGGCACAAGGATTCAGCGCAGCAGAGAAGCAATGCCTGGGCACACACTGACTGACTTGGCCCCACCGAAAGGGAGAGGGTGGAGACGAAGGGCCTTTCACAGTGACGTCTGGATGATGCTTAATGACACTGTGCCTTAGGAACTGGTATCCTTCATTACGGTATTAATCCTGTAATTGGAACTCTTCTGTAAAAGCCCTCCCTCAAGAAGCGTTTACTGTGAGATCCAGAAGTCCAATTAAATAGGATTATAACTATGTTAAAAGACAAAAACAGGAAGGACCCATGGCTAGGAACAGGCCTGGGAACCATTTTCTGTGGCTATCTGTGGCTGAGGAGCTGCTCCTGTCGCTCGCCCCCTGACACAGCGCCCTGGCCGCTGCGGCGGACCTGCCAGGCCCCAGGGCCTCCCTGTGGCAGCGCACCAGGCCCCCACGACAACGACAATGGGCTCTGGCCAGCCTTCCCAGCTCATGCCCAGGCTTCACGTCACGGCCCTCTGATTCCTTCTCCTGCAGCTCCTTGAAGAGGCTCTGTCCTCCTCGGCCCTGGTGCCTTCCCATATGCCCGTCCATATCCAGGATATTCTTCCCTCTTCCTTGACTTGAGGAAGAAGTCCTGCCTGCCTCTTCCATGCAGCTTCCCAGAAACAACCCGTCCTGTTACCCTCGGAGAAGCAGAGCAGCCCTCCCAGCCCCCTGACACGTCAGCAGCTGCTCACGGTATGTAACTACATGTAGGCGAGTGGACCTCGTTCTCACTGAGAACTCCTCTGCCACCCTCACTGGATTCTGCGGGAAAGGCCCTCTGTAGATAGCTGAATCACGTGTTCCTGATCCCATTATCAGAATTAAGAGTCGAGGCCCACAGGGGGTAAATTCAAGTAATTCATCCCATGAGGATGATTCCCTCTAATAATAAATAAGTATCAGAAAAGACTGATTTCTTCCTGGACTTGATGCATATTTTATCTATCTGACTGTAAATTCCATGAGTGCAGGGACTAAATTTATTTATTTGCTCATTGTTCTACATCCCCAGCAACCAAAACAGCACCTTGCTCCAGGAAGGTTTTAATCTGTTTCCTCAGAGTGTGAATGTCTTATTTGTACTCACTTCCCAGGAAGAGCAAAATGCCCGGCAGAGTTCACACTCACGGACGCGATGCTGAATGAATCCTAGTCTGAGTTATAAAATGAGGCCATTTTCTTTATGCTAAATCCCAAATCGGGAAAAGCCTCTCCCTCAGAAGCACACACCTGCCTGCCTTCTCTGGGGCCCCAACCCCTGCCCCTTTGTCTGGGTTTCTGTGTGCAACCCTGAGGAACAAAAAGTGGCTTTGTGTCACTGAGAGGAAAGCCTTTACAGAAACGCAAAACAACATTAACCTTTTCCCCTCCGGGGCATTCAACACACTGGCTGACTGTAAACCTGGGGCATTCAGGGAGAAATTCGTTCGAAATTCAGGCAAAAAAAAAAAAAGGTGCCTTCCTATCTTCAAAATCCCAAGACCTGCACATTTTCCCCCCTCAAGAAGCAACTCAAAAATGCCCACGCTGCACTCTAGGCCCCTCTTGGGCAGCCCTTTCTGCCACGCTGGTTGGCTCCTTGCAGAGCGTCTGCCCCCTCTGCATGTGGGGGGCAGCCACCACCTCTGCCTCCGTAAAACTGACTGCCACCTGCGTTGGAGACGCCCCATGCTGGCGCTTCAGAGACAGGACATTTTGTTCATTTTGTCTCTGTGCCAACCTGCCTCTGCTAGGAGTCTCAAGGCCACGGCAACCTGAAAAGAGATCCTCTCTACTTCTCTGCATTCTCTGAAAATGACCAGAAATAATCATAAAAAACGAACAAAGGGATTACAAATTAATCTGCCCTTGCCGTCTCCTCTGACTGCCAAGATAGAATTACAAACCCAGGATTTGCAAGAGACCTCAATTCCTCATCAATCTCCACTACCGTTTCTATCATGGCTTTTTTTTTTTTAAGCTCCTTTCTTAGGCAGGGAATGAGGAGGAGCTACGTTCTTTCTTCACTCAACAGTAACTGAAAAATATGTCCTTAACATTTCAGAAAGCAGATCGTCCATGTGCTAGAATATAACCACTAAAGCGTGGAGGTGAAACGGCACGAGTGTCCTTTATGTCAGCATCTGCTGAAATTAATGAATTAAAGGGTGGACAACCTAAATCTGTGGCTTCTTTGAAAAGCATGAGTCCGATAGTCCAGAAAATTTGCAGGGCCCAAGACTCTCCCATTTCTTTACTTTACGCTTGCTTTCGTAGGGCGTATTTTGACTGTTTGGATGGGCAGTGTGGCCTCAAAACTGTGTTTCGAATGTGCCTCTGCTCTCTCTGGCCATCTGGAGCTGGGGCCTGCAGAGAGAGCAGGTCCTGGCATTTTCCTGCCAGGTTCACTCCATGGGTCAATGCTACAGTGTAATCAAAAAGCGGTGGGAGCTTTTCTCCTTCTCTGTCCTGGAAGTGCCCGCAAACTATTAGGATGAGGCTGTGCCAGCACCACCGCTCCTCCTGGAGCCACGCGCTCTGACCAAGAGGGCACAGACTGCAGGACCTGGGGGGCACCGAAGCGCTCATCCTAGCTGCTGTTTACATGAATCCCGCACACCACGCACGGCAGCTGCTTGTCTATGTGATGTCCACGGTGGCTCCCAGTCCTGCTCTTCCCTGGCTAAATACCTGTATATGCTCCTCAAACTCACGCTTGGCAGAAAGTTGAGGGTGGGGCTCAGAAGGCAAAGTGTGAAGAGAGCATCCAATCAGAGGCCTGTCTCTGCTAGGTACCGCTCTTACCTGGGTATGGCACTCTTCCTTTGGTGACCAGCTCTGTGAGTAAGATTCCAAAAGACCACACATCAGACTTGATTGTGAACCTCCCATACAGGGCTGCTTCGGGAGCCGTCCACTTAATGGGGAACTTTGCACCTGCAGAAAGAACACGCGGTGACTCGGCAGGCAGGGAGCATGGTGCCGGGTGTGGGGCTGGGGGGGGGGAGTGCTAGGAAGCCACTTTCACAGCAGCAAGGTCGCAGAGGAGGATGGAAGGCGGTGAGCAAGAATGGACTACAACTGAGCAGCTGTGGGATCTGGTCCTGGCTCTGTGACCTTAAGCAAGCTAGTCTAATTTATTTTTCCCATCAAAAGGTTGGTGTTCAAAGCCCCTTAAAGCCCTGGCGTCTAGAACTTGAATCTGTGACCACACTGAATGTCACAGGGTTGGTCTGGATGTGGGGCTGACTTGTGATTTAGGAAACTAATTTTGTATATTTTTTCCTTTGCTTTGAAATGATGTCATATTCTAATTCATACATACAGTATTAAATCATAGTGCTACTCTCATGAATTCTTTGGTATAGAAGACTATATATAGTGTGCTCTTGCGAGGTAGACCGAAACCATATCCAACCACCATGCTTCTCCCAAGGTGAAGAAAATTTGCTGCAGCCCATGTATTTTGTAGAAATGGGCTCTATTTCCCAAGGCCTCCAAAACCCACAGCAGAGAAATGATTTTGCCTCTGGCTACTTCCCTCCACCTTTCCCCCCATCACTGACAGCGGCCATCTTTACTCCTGGGACAGCTTTTTCTTCTGTACTCTATGATTCCTTGTTTACCTCCCTACCTTTCTCCCACCCACCAGAGAGCGTACTATTTACTGTTTTTTATTTTTTTAATTAAAAAAAATTTTTTTTTAAAGATTTTATTTGTTTGACAGAGGCACAGCGAGAGAGGGAACACAAGCAGGGGGAGTGGGTGAGGGAGAAGCAGGCCTCCCATGGAGCAGGGAGCCCGATGCGGGGCTCGATCCCAGGACCCCGGGATCATGACCTGAGCTGAAGGCAGATGCCTAATGACTGAGCCACCCAGGCGCCCCTACTCTTTGTTTTTTAAAGAGTAGTCTACCTCAATGACTATCTTATGAGTCTGATTTCTCAAGACCAAGCAACAAATTCATGCCCAGGTCAGTAGAATCTTTTCTTTGAAATTTCTCAGATCATTAAAAGAATCCTCTCTCCAATCCAAAAGGAAGGGTGGCATCCATCCTGCTCTTCATAAGGCCAGATATGTGTACAGGGAATTAAAATTGATTCAGCAGCCTGTGCTCTCATATATTAAGCTCAGCAATTATAAAGCAGTTCCAGAAATTTCACTGAACAAACTAAAAGAAAAACACAGGAATTGTTATTACTGATGTAAACACAATTATATGTTTAAAGTACGTTAATTTTACTCAGGATCTCCCAAAAAAAAAAATCATACAAAGGCTGACAGAATCAGAAATTTTCATAGTATCTTCTACGAAAAGTCACAATATGCGAGAGTGGCAAATAATTAAAATCTTTAAATTAGCACAGTTTTAATAATGAGAGGTATGATAAATTACAGCAATTAGATTTTTGTTTTAAACACAGTACATGATAACGTCTTTAGCAAATCTACCCTGGCATTTTCTGGCAATATAATTTTCCTCTCCATCTCTTTTATGCCAGTGTGAAATGAAATTTAAAAAATCCTATTTCATTATGAGGCATCTTACATTTACACTGGAGCAGAAAAGTTATTCTATAGTTTTCTTTTCCTTTTATGCACTGAGTTATTTTTAATTAGCTGTGTTTCTCAAGCATAATTATTTCTATCTTTTCTTAAGTGCTGCATGATTCCACACAAGGCCTGGTATTCTCCGAACAGTCGTTTTGTTTTTAAAGTTTCTTTCAAAGCGTTCTGCTGTGTGAGAACCTACCCTCGAGCATTCTGTTCACGCAGCTTTGGACTCTGAGCCGCTGGGATTAACGTGATAGATTTTCTTCAGTGTCGAGAACAGACTTTGCCCTGGACCAGACCTCAGCTGGAGTTCTCTTATTTCAGAGAATTAAAGGTATATTAAATTCATTCTTATTTAAACTATCTCTTGAGCCAAATGGCTTGGAAATCTATGTCCATCTCGAAAGCAAAAAGAACTTTCTTTTCTCCCCTGTGTAGACACAGATCCTGTAAACAAAATGACAAGCAAAAGGAGCCTTTCTTCCCTTCTTGGAATCATTCAGCATTTGTGAAGGTGTGTGTTGCTGAAAGTAAACTGTTCAAAATTTGGATAAAGTCATTTTGGATTTTCTGAGAGAAGATTTCATAATGTGAGGTTAACAAAAACCCAAACAAATGTCAATATATCAGCCCGTTGTGCTAGGTGGCTTCATTGTTTTTTCCTTATGTCATCTACAACAATAATTACAATATGTAAACCTTCAACAGATAAATTCAAACAAAGGCTGTAATGGATCTCTGATAGGAAACCATTTGTGGATATGTGCTTTGAGACTTATTAGCAGGAGCTTTTGTAAATAAATATTTCGCATTAGTTTTCTTTCTAAGATAAGCAATATATTTACACCTAATGCATTTTGGAAGAAAAAAAATAAAGGATGTCTTTGTCCAATTTCTCCTACTTCTTTTCAGTCTTAAAATAGCAGGGACTGTTGAAAAAAAAGCTTCTCTAAAGATAACTCATGTTTTCCTTTTCAAGGCAGAAAAAAAGTTAATAAATTAAAGCAGTGATAATCTGTTAATCATTAACTACAGTTTCAACAAAAGAACTGATGGGTGTCCTCTCTTTTATGCACCTCATTACCTCTACTTCCCCTCGCCTTGGTTTCCCACCTCCTGGGGGCACAGAAGCAGCTCCAAACGGTGTGTAGTGGGGGTGGGGGGAGGTGTCTCTGTCCAGGGCCAGGCAGGTTGCACCTTGCAAACCCCAGTCTATGAGAACAGCACCCCCAGGGCTGTCTGGAATACCACCTACACAACCCCACAGGTGGCCCTGTGGGGGGCTGCAGTGGGCTCTTGCCTCGGGTGAAGTCAAGAAAGCTCAAGAAACCTGCAAGAAAGGATCTCTTTCCCTCGAAAATAAAGTTCCGCCCCCTCATATTTTTTCAAAGATATCATGACAGGCAGTAAGTCAGGATCAAAGTTGTCTCCTAAGCAGTATGGATTTGTAGAAAAAAGAAGTCGGCATCCAGAGGCCTGTATTACAATGAACTTGGCCTTACTGTGTAACCAGCTGATTTGCTCTTCTTGAAATTCTCCTGTTTGGGAGCAGGATTCAGATGCCAATGCCATTTCCTCTCCTTTGCATTTTATCAGAGGAAACGTAGCCAACTGCAGGTAGGATAATCTGTATCACTGGTATCATGGGCTTTGGAGGCCACAGTAACTCAGTGAACTTGTTCAATGTTTAGCTGAACCAAAAAATAAAGGAATTATCATCACTCTAGTGTTTATTTCTGACTGAATGACTTTAACAGTTTAGGATTCTTTGAGGCCAATAGACAAAGGCCATACATGATATGTATGTATTTAATGCATGGGACTTGAAACATCTTTTCCACTGTTTTCCAAGCAGCGTTTGCAGATTTTGTATCTCCCAGGGTAAAGCCCTTGCTGAGAGCCTGACTCGGTGCCGTCAGCGAGGCCCAGGTCCTGGAACTACCAGGGGACTTGCCTTGCGTCATTTACCTTTCTGTAATCCTAGTGAGGACCAGCGAGCCTGAGGCCAAGCCATTTTCTGTGGCGAGTAAACATGCCAGTGTTACAAGTAATAATTTGTCACCGACATTTCCATCCTGTTTCTCTAGATTCTGTTGAGATTGAACTGAGTGGTCATGAGCTCTGTGTCACGACGGGGGACTGTACTCCCTCTCTCGGCTTCAACCACTCTCCTGACTCCCGTGTCACCTGTGTTTGGATCACCCGATGGGCTCTCCCTCCTGAATTCCTGATCTGTACAATGGATTCTCTCCTCAGCGTCTCCGCTGGGAGGCATCAAAGGGCCTCTCAAACACAACATCCAAAATTGACCTTCCCCAGAATTCTGCTTCTTTTTCACCGTTTGTTGCCCTGTAAACTGCCCAGCTGATGAGACCGGAATGACGAGAATCCTCCTTATCTGGATGCTGCGTCTAACTGCCCATCGCTGCGCCCTCACAAGGCAGCACAGGGCCTGCCCAGGGAAGGAGCTCAGTCCATCTTCCCTGTGTCTTCTTCGGCCCCTGCTGCGTCACCACTCCCCAGGCTGAGTCCACTTCACTCCTGTGAATGTGTCTGGGCATCTTCACTACCCTCACTCCAGTCCTTACTCACTCCCTGTCCCCTGCCTGCACTCCTGCAAGGGCCTTCCAGCTGGGCCCATATGCACAGTCTGGTCCCTCCAACCTACTGCTCCAGCCGCTTCCTGTTATCCTGGGCACCTCTCCATTGCCCTTCTCCGATGGTTCCCACCTGCTGGAGGGCCACCGGGCAGGCTGTTCCCTTTGCTGAAGTCCCAACCCCACGGCTAACTCCTGCTCCTTTGTTCTTAGCCTAAATGTTATTTGCACAGGGAACCTTTGCTGGGACACAGGACTGGGGTCGGTTCCTAGCACTGTGCTGTCAGAGCCTCTCGTTCTTTGTGGCTACTACTATTCCAGGGCAGATGAATACATTAGTTGTTTGAAGCACGCCTCTCTCAAGAGATAGAGACTGTCCCTTGAGGGCAGGGAGGGCAGAGGGAAAACAGTGGAAAAGATGTTTCAAGTCCCATGTCTTTCTGGATGGCTACCTTATCTCCGGTAAGGAGATCAGTGCCTGGTGCACAGAAGAAACTAGATAAAGACGTGTTGAATGATGGAGGCATGGGGCAGCTGATTCGCCCTTCCAGATTTCCTTTCCAGGCTGAACCACCACAGCTCCTCCGGAGGCTTGTTATTATTAGTTCCCTGCTCTCTGGCGGGTCCTCTTCTCGTCCTCAGTGACCAGTGTCACTGTCTGCCATCATCTGGATACCCTTGTTAAGGGCCTCTCAACTGCTGAGACTGCAGTAGAAGACCATCACCCCCATGACACTTAGAAACACCTGGAAAACCCTGTGTTCTTACTGCCAAATGAAGTGTGGG